AAAATTTTAAATTAATAAATATTAACTGAGTTTAATTAAGAATCAGTTACCTAAAATATGAAATCATGCAAATATAATTATTGTGTGAGCTCCAAACAGGCGTATATAATTCGCTAAAAATGCTATGAATTTGAACCTTTCAATTCATATGACTAAGTAGGATCAAATCCTAACTACCAGAATATACTATAGTAATTAATAACTCGAGTCCATGGAATTAAACATAGACATTGTCCGTGCGAAGTAGCGTGCGAGATAGCGCGCGGACGACAGCAGTTAGAACAGGTTTATTATTATCTATCTCTAATTACATTATTTTACAGTTAGAACTCACCGCAACCATGTTTTAAAAAATAATAATTTTTAATAAATATTTTATATAATACATTTTTTTTTTGAATAGCAAAAGAATTATATTAAATGAGTACAAGGGGTACTCAACCCATATACATCTATAAGATCATCACTATACTAGCTTTGGGGTTTAAAAGCCAAAAAACAAAAGCCACCCCATCTGTCCTCTATTTCTTAGTATTTAAACATCTCACTGGATCAGAAATCCAATCTATAAAAGAAATGTGTTCTAGATTCAATAGAGTTCTAACCCAGTGAAATGAGCAAGTTTGTACACGTTCGAACAGCTTATCCTCATTGAGTTCCTTTTGTTGGAAGGCGGTTTCATTTCTACTCAACCACGTTGACCACACTATGGCATACCACATCATGTTCCATCCCTTTTTCAGATTTTTTGGACCCTTTAGCCATCTGTGTTGGTGGAAGACCTGCTTACATGTGTTTCCGAGGACATAACATAGCCCCCACCAATTTATGCATCTAGTCCATAGCTTGTAAGAAACTTTGCAAGATATAAATAGGTGATCTGTATGTTCCTGGCATGAATCGCACCAATAGCACATGATATTTTGAGTGTCATGTAAGATTCCACGCGTTGCCAAATTGACCTTTGTGGGGATTCTATTTAAAAGCATTTGCCATGAGAAAGCAATTACTTTTGATGGTACCTGTTCGCCCCACAGCTTTTTATAATCAAGCTTTTTGTTTTCATCCTTGTTAGCAAGCCATTCATATGCCGACCTTGTAGTGTATTTACCCCCATCTGCTAGATTCCAGCTCCATGTGTCCTCGGCATTTTGCACCAGCTTTGTGTCCTTTATGGCCTCAAGCAATTTTTGTAGTGAGTCCTCTTCCCAAGCTCGAAGTGTTCTTCTCCATTGAAATCTCCAGCTCCAGCACCCTTCTATCCATTGACCCATGTCTTGTATGCTGCAGTTTTTTCCTGTGGCTAATGAAAAAAGTCTAGGAAAAACATTAGCTAATGACTCCCCCCTCACCCACTCATCTTTCCAGAATTTAATGGACCTCCCATCCCCCAACTTCAGCTTGAAGTTTGATTCTAGCCATCCCTCTTTAATTCCTAAGTTTGTGTTTAATTTGCAGATGTCTTTCCACCAAGATGATCCTATACGTCGCTCTTCTCTCATCCTTTCTAGCCAATTCCCTTCGTCCCTTCCATATTTTTCTATTAGTACCCTACTCCATAAACCCTTCTCTCCTCCGATCATCCTTGCCCACCATTTTCCAAGCAAAGCCATATTAAACAATCTCAAGTTTTTTACCCCTAAGCCTCCCTCTTTTTTTGTACAGCAAACTCTATCCCAAGACACCCATGCAATCTTTCTACCCTCCCCTATGCCCCCCCATAAGAAATTCCTTCTAATTTTATCAAGTTCATAGATTACCTTTTTGGGGAGCAGGTGGAATGACATCAGAAACACTGGTAGACTTGATAGCACAGCGTTTATGAGGGTGATTCTTCCTCCAAAAGATAGAAATCGATGTTTCCACAATGAGAGTTTTCTTCTGCACTTCTCGATTAGGGGTTTCCAAGTATCTATCCTCCTCGGGTTTGCCCCCAATGGCACTCCCAGATATTTGCAGGGGAGAGAGTCAATCTTGCATTTCAGCATCCATGCCATACTTGTGGTCCATTCTTCTTCAGTGTTAACTCCTATTAAAGAGCTCTTCCCATAATTTACCTTCAAGCCGGACACCAGTTCAAATGCTCTCATGATACATTTAACTGTCCATATATTGTTTTCTGTTGCTTCACCCATAAATAAAGTGTCATCTGCGAATTGCAAGTGGCTGATCCTTATCTCTCCATCTTCGACTCTTGTTCCCTGAAGGAAGCCTTTTGCAATGGCTGCTGAAGTTAGTCCATTTATAGCTTCTGCCGCTATCAAAAATAGGAACGGGGCTAGCGGGTCTCCTTGCCTGAGCCCCCTTGACATGGCAAACTCTTTGGTGGCGCTTCCATTGATTAGAACAGACACCGTGCTAGATTTTAAACATTCTGATATCCATCCTCTCCAAATTTTATCGAATCCCATTCTCTCCATCATGTAATCAAGAAAAGACCAACTGACCTTGTCATATGCTTTTTCGAAGTCAATTTTGAAGATAAAGCCCTTAGATTTTTTCCTCCTCATTCCCTCAATTGCCTCATTCGCGACCATCACTCCATCAAGTAGCTGTCTTCCCTCAATAAATGCTGATTGTGTCTCTCCGATGATTGTGGAGAGTACCTTGCTGAGTCTGTTTGCTAACAATTTGGCCAGGATTTTGTAGGTGCATCCAATTAGAGAGATAGGTCTATACTCCTCGATGCCTTGGGGATTTTCTGTTTTTGGTATTAAGACAAGAAATGAGGCATTTGATCCCCTTACCAATCTGCCATTTTTATGGAAATCTGTGAGGAACTTCATGACATCAGCTTTTATCACCTCCCATTCATTCTTTAACAAACCGAAGCTAAACCCATCTGGCCCTGGTGCTTTGGAGCTGTCACAATTCCAGACTGCCATTTTCACTTCCTCTTCAGTGAACGGTTGTGTGAGCATGCATCTGTCTACCTCCGATATTGACTTGAAGTTCACCCCCTCTAAAGTTGGCCTCTTCCATCCTTCATCAGTAAATAAGCTTGCATAGTACTTCATGATACCTTCTTTAATATCTTCCACTTGCTTCACCACCTTGCCTCCTATGGATATTTCATTTATTTCATTCCTGCGCCATCTCCCCTTAATAGAATTGTGGAAGTATCTGGTGTTGGCGTCTCCTGTTTTCAACCACATTTTTCGAGCTTTCTGCTGGGCCATCTCTTCTTTCATTTGCATATTCTTTAACAGCTCAACGTGTTGGCATTTTCTGAATAGGATATCTTCTTCTGTTAAGCTGTCATTATCCCCTTTGCCATCTATCTTGTTTATCATCTCCCTAGCTTCATCAATCTTCCTATCCACTTCTTGGAGGGATGCCTTTGACCACTCTCGCAGGAATTCCTTTATTCTCTTCATTTTCTCCTTTAGGATGAACCCACCCCATCCTTTAATATCATGCTCTTTCCACTTTGCTGCAAACAGATCTTTGAACCCAGGTGTTTGTAGCCATGCATTGAAAAATCTAAAAGGTTTTGGGCCCCAATTACGAACCTCATTTTTTACTATTATTGGGCAGTGATCGGACAAGGATCTGTGAAGTCCCCATTGCTTGAGATCAGTCCATTTTGTTAACCATTCATCGTTGAACAGAAATCTGTCAAGGCGACTCATACAACGGCCATTTGGTTGATACCAGGTGTATTTTCTTCCAATCAATGGTAGGTCTATCAAACCATTGTTCAGTATAAATTGTTCAAACCCCTTCATGTCCCTCCTCACACTTATGCCTCCCGCTCTTTCCTGTTGACTCTTAATAGCATTAAAGTCCCCTCCA